TTATTATCGCTCCTATATATTACCACAGACAAAATAGCTATCGCCACAGACCGCTCCTGGAATAGGCCAGCAGTTTTAAATTTCCGAATTGCCGGTAGAGTACACCACCAGCAGAATTTTAGGAAGAATCAAATACAGAAGCCCGCATATCTAAGCGTATCCTAGCAACATATAAACAAGACTTTGGTAATGCTGCCAGGCGTACTTACGGATTTCTTTTGTACACTTTTTTGTCAACATCTGTTTTTTGCGTTACTGTATTTACTTCAGTGTATGATGTAGGTATTGATAAAAATGTTTTTAAAGAATCAACGAATATCTATGTATGTATCATATGATATTCTGCAGTGGTGTTATAGTTAAGTTATTTTATCACAATTTCGTTAATTAGCTACCTACTATTTCCTTTTTTTGGTATTGAAATACTGCAGAAAATATATTTCCAAATAAACAAAATTCGTAAGAATATTTTAAACAGTTTGTAATATAATTTTTTTAATATTTGATGATGACGATAAATTTATTTAATATACAAGGTGGGTTATTAGTACGTCGCGGAATGTAGGTACAGGTTTTTTTTTGTATTTTGACATCCACTTATAGGTTTAATAATTAAAGATAGAAAGAAACTTTAAATACAAATGTACGACTTTTCCTTTATTTCATTCGACATCAAAATTTACTGGCATAAAATATATATGTTTAAAATAAAAAAAATCATTAAAAAAAATTAAAATTCATCCTTATGAAAATAACAAACAACGCTTTTTATAACTAACCTTTACAACAACATAAGGAGAATAACTAAAAACGAAATAACATTAATATACCTACAATTTTTACAAATCAACATGCAAGTGATTGTGATGATACAGTTGAAAATATGTTTCAATTTACTATTAATTGCTTCAAAAACAAATTCAAAATTATCAAGCATTTCGTCCTGTATTTTTTTTCAAAACTTGCAAATTTTCAGTTAAAAAAAGATATGTCTAAAAGACTGACAATGAGATCGGGGCTGTTTTCTGGCCACCTAAGGTTTCTAATAATATTTTTTAGTGTTCGTTGACGGGATTCTTCCTCCAAAATAAATTTGCCAATATTCCAGAAGAACTTTTGCACATTATTGTTATTTGAATAATACAGTTAATTATGTTTTATTTTTCGTCATCAGAATAACCCATTGTAATTTTTTAATTTTTTAAAGTAAAATGGGTTATTCTAATAATGATAAATCCCATGTATTTTTAAAAGAAAGTTCGTTTCTGTCGTTTTTGTCTGATTGTGTGCGAGAAAGATAGAGTTATAGTGTGGGATAGAGATAGAGTGACTCTGTCCTTATAGAGAGCTTATCTCTTTCTCTCTCTCTGCTGCTTCAGGAGTCTCCCCAGCAATTTCAGGATACCTAAGGAGGGAGCGTGGGGTAGAGCGCGTGGCCTTGTTAAGCCTTCGTTATCGATCTATGATGTCACACAGTATAAGAAAAAAAAATGGTTTCTGCTCGTAACTCAGAAATGGCTGGAAATATAAACCAATTTCCCCTTGGTTCTGAGTAGAGCACTCGGTGGGTGACGCAGAGCGGGGTGTCACAATATATGAAAGAAAAAAAAAACAGTATTTGCTTAGACTCTTAAGTATCAAAAAATCTCCTATGGTGAACAAATAAATCTCTCATGGTGAACGAGTGAAAAACGTCAAAACCCGCATGTCAAAAAAAAAAAAATCGGGACCAGCGGTGTGTGACGTCATAGAATAAAAAAGTGTTTATAACTCGGAAACGGTGCGTTGAATCGAAAAAATAATTGAAAAAATCTCCCCACACCGCTAGTTCTGCATGACAGTTCTGCGTTGAATGGAAAAGGTCCGAAGTCAGTATGTCGAAAAACAAAAAAGTTAGTCAAAAATTGCAACAGCAGTAGCGAACGCATTATCTTATCTCTGTATTGATTGATGATTTGCTGTTTTTTTTAAATAAATTTCGTATTCAACCTTGAGGTTCCAGCAATCTTACATTGTGTTAATTTTTTGAACACCCTGTGTCACAAATATGAGCACTACCAATGACAACCATGATATGCAACACTTGTGTCAATAATTATTTTACCTATCTAAAGAAATCAACAATAAGAGGCAGTACCCATCTAAGGATACACAACCTGTATAATGCATTTTTTTTAAACATAGGTGTTAATATCGTACCATATTGGAAGTCGACGCACAAATCTAAAAACATTAATTTCGAGTTTTTGAATTTTCCCATTCCAAGGTGATATAAAATAAATAATTAATTAGGTAAATTCATAGTTTTAATTCTAACTTGATTTATTTTATTTAACATTTAAGGCAAATGTGATTTCCAAACACAAGATAAATTCCATATCTCTTTAATTACATAATTGAAAGCATTAAATTTATTTAGCAGTTATTATTTGGCAACAAAGCCACCGCTGGAACTGCCGCCTATTAGCAAGTAGAAGAGTTACCACGCTAAATTTTATAGCTGGAAGCCGGCTAAGGAGACCCTGCTTCCATTTCGGGTTGCCAATTTCCAGCATTTAAGTAGCAGTCTGTAGCGGATACGCTATATTGTCTGTGATATTACATTTATCTATTCCACAACTTATACTATGTGTATTAATCAATGTTTGAAACTTTTTCAATACGGTCAACGTTCTTGTTACAAGAGAGATTTCGAGTTATACTTGCAGACTCAAGAATAATGCGTACCTACAAGATGTAACAGATATGGGACAAATTAAGGTAAGCCTTCCTAATAATAGCTTCAATACATTTTAAAAATAGCGTTTGCGAGAATTTGGCTGCTATTCCTATCGTTGAAGTCTCCAAAAGAGCAGCTTAAATAGTATGACTTAAATAGATATACGAGATAAATTCAGAATTTACTACTCAAGATGAACATTTTCTATGTTGTTGGGATCACCAAATTTCCATTTTAATTCAAAGCTAGATCTAAAAAACTAACCGTAGCTACTATACCTTTACATATGTAAAGTATGTATGTATAGCTTCCTGATGCACATATGGTTTCTCTTCAATTCTATTCATGATTTATTAAGTACCTTTAATGCGATCAGTATGCGTTATTAATAAAGATCCGTAGTATTACGCAAACACCAATGTAGAACGAGGTGTAGATATAGTTGACTAAAACGTTCACTAGTAAGACAGGATAATAGTATCTATGTAGAATCGTATGAGGATTTTTTTTACAACTAAGTAACTGATACGATCATAATAAATTATTAACCCATTTTTGGCGAAAGTTACAAGTGATTGCAAGAGAATCTAGACTTGACGTGATAAACAGTTTAGAAAAAGTGTAGTTTATTATTTGTTCTATATTTATTAATAAAAGAATAAAATCTTTCTTTATTTAATATATCTTAATATATTTTAGAAGTGTGAATAATTTTAGTTACCGCAGAATTGACTAGATATGTATCCAATTTGGAACAACTTTTTTCGTTAATAATTCGTAATTGTTATTATTTGTTCAAAATTGAAGCCATTCTTGTAGTTATTCGTTTCATTTGAAATTTGTTAAAATATCTTAATTTCTATTAATTATTTTAACAATAATCTAATGATATAATATTAAAAATATGAGAAAATAATTTCATCATGAATTAAGAACTGATTTTCGTAATTTAAGTCTTAATTAATTCACCGATTTTGGTGAGACGAAATTCAATACTAAATTATTTAGTTTGTCCATGCATACATTTAGTGTATGTTTTATTCAAACTGCAGATTTAGTAAACATATTGGATTAAGGACATTTTACTATCCTTTACTTTCTCTGTTATTTTTCATGGTAAGGTTAAAAGTTGAAGTAAAGTTTTCCAAAAATATAAGGTTTAACGTGTCTGTATATCCCCTAATAGTAAGAAAGCTATGTAAAAGCATGTACCATAAGCTTAATGTAGGTACAGTTTATTATTATCTTCTAGGAAAACAAGCTTTTGTCTAACAGGTCTTATGGCACACGTTTTTGGCTATACCTCTATTGCTATTAGAGATAAAAATTATATGTAGCAGTAGTCATAAGAAAGCATTCTATTTAAATTGAAGATTGTCTCAAAGACTTCAGATCATTTTTCTGCAGAGTTCTAAAATAATGAATATATTGATGATTTTAAAGTTTTGAGTGTGGATTCGCTAACAGAACAGAGGGCCTAAGAGTTCTGGTAATAGGTCCGCCCCAAGAACAACAAAAATTAGCTAAGCTAAAGAAATGCAATATATCGATGATGATTTTAAGGCTTTGAGTGCAGATCCACTATTAGAACTGTGGGTCTAAGAGTTCTGGTAGCAGGTCCACCCCATTGAGCTTAACCCGAGAACAACAAAAATTAGCCAAGCTAAAGAAGTGTAACATAAACCTGTATATGGCGGCGACTAGTTACATAGGCTACAACATGACAATTTGAAAAACCATACAACCTAATTTAAATATAGATGATGTTTTTTGTTATACGGATTTTAGACAATAACAGATATTTACTAAAATAATGAAGATATAGAAGTGGGTTTTAATTAACGGGAAGTGTCAACAAGGTACAGTTGCAGCATCTCTGTTGTATGTGGAAAGACTTAAGAATTCACTCGACACGCGAAATAGGGTGGATAAAAGCTTGTGATGCTCGTAGTCACTATGATTTTATTTTCGCCGCTTTTAGTGATCCATAATTTAAACATTTTTTGTAAACATACAATTTTTATTAATTCTATACGCTATTAAAATAACTACACCATGGAAGCAAAACATAGTTCTATTAAACAGGTTGAAAACTTAAAAAACTTCTTATAGCTTTTATTCTTACATGTTTTTTCATATCTTGAAGAATAAGTAAGGGAAAACAGGGGCAAAGCTTATACAGTGGCCCACCCTGTTCTGTAAATATGAATTTCATGTTTTTTTCTCGTAAAAAATAGACATTTTAATGTAATAAATTTATTAATTTATTTGTTGTTACCCTAATCAATAATGAGATATGATTCATAAGTGATTGAAAATTCTGTTAATTATAAACTATATTCTAAATTTTTACAAAATAAAATAAAATGTTACACTTTGGCTTGAAATTACCTTAAAAATAAAAATAAAACAAAATAAATAATAATATTTATAAAATTAATACCAAATCAATAAATTTGTTCAAAGCTTATAATAGAATTGTTCCTATATCAATGAATCAACAAAAGATTGCCAATAGTTTTTTACTTGGTATATACAAAAACGATCCCTTTTGACAGACAGTAGGTATTACAGATAGGTACGATTTTTCTCTTAACATTACAGGATGCAATTTTGGAAACAATGTGCTAAGCTTATTTGAAGTGTGTTGTAAACGTGTTGAAAATTGACAGAAATTTGTGTAGGAACTTTAAAATGTTTAATTTTCAACCTCACTTCGAACCAATCAACAAGATAGTCCTATTTACAGTTAAGTACTACAACTATTAAATAACCTCTTATATAACACAGATTGTGAGTCATGCCACATTATGTACAACACAATTTGAATTTCACATCAAGTCTTCATTACGTTACTTCTGCATAACAACAAAGCTTTAAATTGTAAATGGTTCCAAAAAACTACATCCCATTCAACACGGGAACATAACTGTGTCTAGTAAAAAAACGTTTAAAATAGTTACAGTATCCAAAATTGCATATAAACTATCACTAAGTAGAAACTTTTATAGTCTGGTCGTTATTATTCAACAATTCTTCTTTCTCTTGCTTTATCTTCGGGTCGAAGTTCTTGTGGGTCGAAGAAAAGTCCTCTGCTATCTCGGAGTACGTTTCGGAATCTTCATCTTCCTTTCCAACCACGTCGATATCATGACCAGGCGGGGAAGCAGTATACAGTCTGGTGGTGACATTGTAATAATCCTGTGCTCCGCTGTAGGTCACTTTTCCCATGAACGTCCTTATTTCGTCGAAACAGGCGTCTTCCCGCTCATTTTCATTACTGCTTCCTGGAGAATCCGCAACCGCCACGCCGCCGTTTCCATCGTCAGATTCGTGTTTCTTAAGATGCCTGTCCAGATTGGTTTGTTGTCCGAAACACCTTTCACACAACGGGCATTTAAAAGGTTTTTCCTTGTTGTGGATATTCCTGACGTGCCTTTGTAGGTTGCTGGATATACTGAAGGACCTCTCGCAGTACCTACATTTGTAAGGCTGTTCCCCTGTGTGAGTACGCAAGTGCCTGGTCAGATTGGCGGATCTCGGGAAGACCTTGCCGCAAAACTTACAAGCGTATCTGTCCTTGATTTTGCCCTGGTTCTGTTGCTGCATCACGTCGTGAAATGGCTTGCCGTTGGTGAAACTCTGCAATCCTGGCCTTAGCAAATCCAGTCTTTGAGGTGGTAAAGTGCTCAGAAAAGAAAATCTGTGATGTCCGAACGGAGACGGAAGTAGCCTGTCGTTACTTTGGGGGTAGTTGTATGGGAAGTTCGGCCTGCACATTAAGTTTTCTAGCATCATAGGATGTATGGGTCTGGGATATGCCATTGGCGGGGTAACTGTAACCTTCTCGACAGTTGGAGTTTTTTTTTCTTCCTCTATCTCGACTATTTCGATCTTTTCCTCCTTTATTGGTCTCGGCGAGGACATGGTCAGATTCGTGGTTTTTTGTACTTTTGCTTCAGGAACAATTCTAGATTTTTTCCATCCACTCAGATCTAAAGGTTGTTCTCCTTCATCGCTACTCTCCGAAGGTGGTCTTGAACTCTTTTCCGAGGTTTTGGATAAGTCTTTAGGGAAATTATCTTCATCTTCAGACGTTTGAACTGTTGTCTGTTCTCTTGGATGTAATAACAAGTTATTTGGTCTTGCTGGCGATGGCGTTAAGTTCGCTTCTATCCCTGTAGGTGGACTAACTTTAGCAACTATGGGTGCCTCCCTCGGAGGTGTAAATCGTTCTATCTTAGGCGATATCCTTTCAGGACTTAATCTTAGCTTTTTTGGTGGAGAAACATCCTCATCGGTCTTTAACTTGGGCAGTTGGTTGAAGAACAGCGGTGATATGAAAGAGTTCACTGGAGCAGTGGGAAACATTTGCGGATAGTGATGAAACTGTGGAGGAAAGGCGAATGGCAGGTGACAGCCAGAAGGCCGGTAGATGGAAAAAGGATTGTTACTGGCCATGGAACTCAATGATAATTGAGAAGAAGTAGTAGACAGGGAGGGGGTAGGTGTGGTTGAATCGCAGAAACGTTTGTGTTTTGAGAGCGATGTGACCGTGGAGAAGGACTGGTTGCATTTGACGCACTTAATTTGCATTCGGCAATCGGCGTGCATTCGTTTGTGTCGGCAGAGATTTGAGAACTGAGTGTAAGCCTGCAACAAAACAGTATGTTGGTTAATGTATCCCCAAAGTATTTCTCATCAATGTGTAATGAATTTCGTGTTTCCTTATATTATGACGAGTGAATTTAGATGTTGCTTTATTAAAGTTTCTGAGGCTAAGATTGTCTAGAGGTTTGAATATTTGTATTCGCATTCGCAAATTTATTTTGAAACAAATTTTATTTTGATAAAAACATGAAACTGATGATACAATCAGAACGGTTTTTCCTTTCCTATTTAAATAAAAGTAATGTTTAGTTGACCTTTATTTTCCCTTTACAAAAATATTTCTTCAAATTATTTGAAGAAAGTTCTATCATTTATATAATTTGAGATGCATATACAGATTGTTGTTTTTGAATTCTCTTGTTATTCATAATACAGAAAACAAGTACATATAAAAATTGTACAGAATTAAAAAACCTGAATGACAAAATTAATTTGAAACACACAGGGCGATGAATAAAAACGGGACACGCCAAATATTACATTTTTTTAATGGAAAACCCTGTATATTTTTAAACACATGTATTTCTGAAAAAATTCTGTATATGGCAATACAGGGTGATTCACAACTTATCCAAAAAAATTTGGGAATAGATGAATATTGTAAAAAAAAATTTGTAAAATCCTTATAGTTTCCGAGAAAAAAAATATTGAAGTTATAGCACATTAAACCACTACATAGCTGGACAACTGTAGTCTCTAGCGTCATTCGCAATACGCGTGGAGAGCCATGTGAGTCCTAATACTGAAATCCGTCGTTGCGGTAGTTTTTGCTGTTATCTGTGTTATTTACATCAGTTTTTTAGTAGTTGGTGTCAAAAATGGCTTGCGTGTATAGCAACTCAGAGTTGATGGATATCGTTTCAATTTATGGTGAAGCAAGACAACATTTGTATTATGGTGAAGTATTTGTGTTATGGTAAAGCAAGATATCATTTGTGTTAGTTCGTAGAAAGTGAGTAAGACGGACCCAAATGTGTTTACACGTGAGTGGATAAAATTTTGAATAATTGCTGTTGAAGCATCGGGTATGTCAAATGATTTTATTATTTAAAAACACAAATTAATTTTATTAATTAATAACGGCAAAAGCAGTTGAATTTGCCGATATAAAATAGGTGCGATAAAATTCTATTTACATATTTCTTTCCTTGCGAAAGTTTTTGTCCGTTTTTATCATACCGCCATGACGGTCGCATTGTGCTAGGTCAGGTTTTACACTGGACCAGTTTCCAGTGCCGTGCAGAAGTGTATTTTTAAATCAATTTCGAACTGACCTTTTTGATTTTTTCTTTACAAAATTGTATTTGTAAGGGTCCCCTATACATCCAGAATTTTTTTTTGGATAAGTTCTGAATCACCCTGTATAAACAGTTTAACATTTTAGTGCGGGGTTGCCAAGTTATGTGGAAAATTCTTCGAATTTTGGAAAAAAAACATGACCTCAAAGAAGTTGTATTAACTTTCAACTACTAACACTTGGAGCAAAAATATTTGACAGAGTTATAGGCAAATGTTAGGCAAAGACTCCTATTTTAGCTAATATCGATATTTTATACAGGGCATTTTTTTATAATACGATCATTTTTAGAAAGTTCAAACTTGATTTTCAAAAATTTTTCAAATGGAACACCATGTATTTTATTGTTCCATTTTACACATATCAGTCCACTTCAACTTTTATTAAATATGTTCTACACCTAAAGTTGTTAGTTTTTATGATACAGCAACATTTCTGGAAAAACCTAATTTTTATTAATTTCGGTCGCACGAAATGGCTTTGGAAAAAATTGTCACATTGTGTCAACTTGTCAGTTCATAATTTATCATTCCATTTTGAGTTAATTTTATCAGTTAGTATTTATTAGTTGGTATTCTATAAAATAATAAAAATTAAGTTTTTTTCAGAAATGTTGCTATATCTTAAAAATTAACAATTTTAGATATAGAACATGCTTAATAAAAGTTGAAGTGGACCGATATGCGAATAAAGTAGAACAATAAAATACAGGGTGTTCCATTTGAAAACTTTTAGAAAATCAAGTTTGAACATTCTAAAAATGATCGTATTATAAAAATGCCCTGTATAAAATATTGATATTAGCGAATATAGGAGCATTTGTCTAACATTTGCCTATAGCTTTGTATAATTATTATGTTCCAAGTGTTAGTAGCTGAAAGCTAATACAACTCCTTCGAGGTCATGTTTTTTTCAAAATTCGAAGAATTTTCTACATAACTTGGCACTAAAATGATAAACTGTTTATATTACCATATACAGAATTTTCTCGGAAATCCATATGTTTAAAAATATACAGGGTGTTCCATTTAAAAAATGTAATATTTCGTGTCCCGTTTTTACTCATTGCCCTGTATGTTTCAAATTAATTTTGTCCTTTAGGTTTTTGATTCTGTACAACTTTTATATAAATTTTTTCTGTATTAACAAGGGAGTTATTTTACTTTCTCACACTAATGGCCCACCGTGTATATTTTTTATACTCTGTACACACCATAGCTGGAATATTACATTATGTATTTTTTCATTTCTGATCTGTTAATTTTTGCATATATTTTTAGAAATTCTTGATTTACTTTTTGTACCTAATTTTCAGTTATTTCTTAATATTCGCATTTGCATTTGCGAATACCAACGCCAAATCTTTACATCAGAATATCTAAAATATCACATTTGAAACAATCGTAATATTATCCAAGGAACTTGTTACTTTTTCAAACTTTCCAAACAGCCAAATTCCGTGATATGTTAGTACAACTGCTGATCTAAATATGAGGGCGCTCAAAATAATCAAACACAAAATATTAATATTTATAATTAAAAAGTGAACTTATGTGAGTGTATTTATGTTTGTCTTTGTAATAGTCATAGTAAATTATCCTTCTACGTATCTAGAACCAAAATACTGTACACACTATACTTTGAATCGTAAAGAAAAACTACTGGTGAATTCAACTGGAAAGCCATTGGAAAGTTATTGGAAGCAATTAATTTGATACATTTATTTCGTTCCAATGAAGATCTTACTGAAATTAATTAGGTATTGCACTCAAATTGGTTCGCAATCATTTATATGATTAAAGCAACCCTCAAGTGGTGACCCCGACGTGATACTTAAAATGGGTCACTTGCGGACATATGTACCCACAAAAGTAATTTATTTGAGACTTTTACTGAGACCAATGAAGATTTCACTGAAATTATTAATTAATGTAATTTTTTTATTAAGTAAGAGATCTATGATACTGATATGCAACCCAAAATGTCATGTTATTTAAGTTTCGTATTTTGTATACTTATATAATTTGTTCTATTAATTCCACTAGTAAGGATGCTACCTGATGAAACAATACTAATCAAATCTGGAAATAGTAAGATCTTTCTATCGCACTTATTTTTAGGTGTTGATCTTTGTTAAGGATGATGTTAGAAAAACCAAAATACTAAATATTTCTTTGAAACCGTTTCATTTTAGTTATGTGTTTTTGTATTCATACTTAGGCGTATCATATTTGACTTTTATTTTGGATAATTATGTATTACTAGCTATTTACTTATATTGTTGGTACAATTCAATGCTAGTTGTGGTATGTAGCTTATAGAGTAGGTAATTGTTTCTTTCAAAATCAACAGCTGGGTACTTTATGTTTGAGGTTCATATATATTTTCCATATTTAGATTTTTGGTATCGAACTATAGATTATTTGATTTCATTTGATATGAATGGGTGAAAAATTTTTTTTTAGTTTATTTGAATTAGCTTCATAAAGTAAACACTAAGAATCTCATTGGAATCAAACTGGAACTTATTGAATGTTATTGGAAGCAATTCTTTTTAGAATTTAAGATCCAATGAAGGTCTTTACTGAAATTAGTTAGGAATTGCATTTAAAACATGTTCGATATAAGATAATAAGGAAATGAGCTAAGTAAACATTTAACAAAAGCACTAAATACATATTTTATATTAAATTATTGTCAACGAAGGAAGGAAGATTGTTCATATCTGAATTGACTCATATCTTCCACCGTTATAGGCATAACGCAGTAATTTTATGCATTTAAATTAAGTTATTCATGTAATAAAACCATAAAATTGTAAGATTCGATCGACTTACCTGTAAGGAAGATCAATCTTAATTATTTGAGCATCGTAGTTCTTCTATGATTCATGTTGGTAGGTCTCACTTATACATGACGCGCGCACAGGTTTAAAGGAAAAAAGTGTTTCGTAACAGTCCGTTACTACTTATTGATAGCCAGCCAGTTCATTTTGTGACCGAACCAATCGCGCTGTGGGTAAAAAAAAAGAGTGGCGGGTGGGCCCCATCTTAGAAGAACTACGATGCTCAAATAATTGAGATTGATCTTCCTTACAGGTAAGTCGATCGAATCTTACAATTATTTTTCGCATCTCCGTT